AAAATTTCATGAAAAACCAGCAGTGATTATGCCATTTTTCCGGCTTTGAGTGGCTGTTGATACTATGTTTAGACTCAGACGACAGAAATTTAGGAGAAAGTGCTTGTTTGCTCCCTTCGATACTTAATTTCTTGTATCCAATTTCGACAAAGGCAGTTTTTGAGCTCTTATAGTTCATAGTTCGAGATCCCTAGCAAGGTGGCGGACTCCAATGCAGAATGTGTAAGCGCTTGAAAGTCACACACCGTCAGCAATTTTCACTTACATTATAAATATTCCACATTGCAAAAGTTCCCAACCAATTCCGTGAAATTTGATTTTCGTTTCCAAAATATCTAGTAAATTTGCTCACCTAGTCGATAGAAGAATGTTTTTTTGCAAGAAATGGCACGACTTATATAATTTATGGTTATCTTGCAAGATCTTGTATCATCGAGGTAATCTTGCAAAAATCTTGAAAGAAGAAGGATATTTTGCAAAAATATTGTCGGAGTGGTGAAGGACCCTGCACGATAACCATCCTTAAAAATTGGTGCAAAAAATTCGTTAAATCACTTCAAGTTTGAAAAATTTGTTTATTTGTATTAGTATAATCATACAAGAGCATAAATTGTATGTATCAATTGTATTGTTGTTTTAAAATCAATAATGTAAAGTTTGGTAAAAATAGCTTGTTTGTATGAATATAATCATACTAAGCATAGGCTTGATGTATCGGTTGGAACATTTTTTGTTGTTATGTAACCCATGGAATGCAAAAACTTTTTTTGAAATTAAAAACTTTTACACCTAAGCTGAGGAAAATTTTAGGCGGCATTAAGTGGAACTTTAATTATTAAAGCAAAATATAAAGTTAGTTCTAAAACATTTTTTCTGAAATTTAGAAAAGTTTTTTGACCCGCTGTGATTTTGATGCATAATTTTTCATTTTTTGACACTGAAATTTTTTTTCAGTTGGACTTGGCTTCGGACTCAAAAACTGTTGATTTTTTTGCTACAACTAATAAAACAATCTCTGCTCCTAAAATTTTTTGTTATAAGCAATCATCAAATCATCTTTTTTTCTGATTTGTTTAACGGTCATCAAAATCATTGTTGCTAGAAGAGACATTAACGAATCTGGAATAAACTAAACATTTTTGAAATTAGCTAGACATTAACGGGTACCAAGTGACGAATATCCCCTTATATAGAAATAAATCAACAGTTAAGCAAATGAAATTTTTCTACCTACTAACAAACCTCCCCCTTTGTAAAATTGGGATAGAGTTAAGAGAGCGTTCAATTATTAGAATGGCTAAGATTTTCGTTTCCAAAATATCTAGTAAATTTGCTCACCTAGTCGATAGAAGAATGTTTTTTTGCAAGAAATGGCACGACTTATATAATTTATGGTTATCTTGCAAGATCTTGTATCATCGAGGTAATCTTGCAAAAATCTTGAAAGAAGAAGGATATTTTGCAAAAATATTGTCGGAGTGGTGAAGGACCCTGCACGATAACCATCCTTAAAAATTGGTGCAAAAAATTCGTTAAATCACTTCAAGTTTGAAAAATTTGTTTATTTGTATTAGTATAATCATACAAGAGCATAAATTGTATGTATCAATTGTATTGTTGTTTTAAAATCAATAATGTAAAGTTTGGTAAAAATAGCTTGTTTGTATGAATATAATCATACTAAGCATAGGCTTGATGTATCGGTTGGAACATTTTTTGTTGTTATGTAACCCATGGAATGCAAAAACTTTTTTTGAAATTAAAAACTTTTACACCTAAGCTGAGGAAAATTTTAGGCGGCATTAAGTTGAACTTTAATTATTAAAGCAAAATATAAAGTTAGTTCTAAAACATTTTTTCTGAAATTTAGAAAAGTTTTTTGACCCGCTGTGATTTTGATGCATAATTTTTCATTTTTTGACACTGAAATTTTTTTTCAGTTGGACTTGGCTTCGGACTCAAAAACTGTTAATTTTTTTGCTACAACTAATAAAACAATCTCTGCTCCTAAAATTTTTTGTTATAAGCAATCATCAAATCATCTTTTTTTCTGATTTGTTTAACGGTCATCAAAATCATTGTTGCTAGAAGAGACATTAACGAATCTGGAATAAACTAAACATTTTTGAAATTAGCTAGACATTAACGGGTACCAAGTGACGAATATCCCCTTATATAGAGATAAATCAACAGTTAAGCAAATGAAATTTTTCTACCTACTAACAAACCTCCCCCTTTGTAAAATTGGGATAGAGTTAAGAGAGCGTTCAATTATTAGAATGGCTAAGATAATTTTATTTCTTAATATGAACAAACTACATATGAACAAAAATCAAAAAATTTGATTTGTCTGAATTTTTTGGACTTTATTTTTCCCAAATTGTCAAAAAAAAGTTTTTGGTATTTGTTTTTTATACATATGAGTTTGTCTATGGTGTAGCAATATTTCAGTCCCAGTCTCAACTCCGAAACTGTATAAGCTGCTTACGCGTGTCATTACATACTTTTGATATGATTTGTACTTTTTCCCAGTTCAACAACTTGTCTAATACAATCATAGAATCATTTTCTCCTTTAATTTTTGTATGACAGTTTTTCCTTTAATTTTTGTATGAACGTCATCAAGCACTAGACATCATTTGCGACCTCTGCATTTTATACACCCTTTTTTCCGAATTTGTATTTTTTACGTTGGTTGTATTTTAACCAATTCCATTTGTGACACCCTTAGAGATCAGTTCTCTCTAAAATGCTGAAAAGTGCGATTCCATTCTGGGGATTTGATTATTCGCTGTTTTCAAAAATGACAGAAAATTCTTTATAGGATAATGAAGAAGCGTGCCAAAAATATATGAGCAATAAAAAAACGTTTCATTCATTTTGTTCTTCTGTTGCTTTTATGAAATATCTGCGTGTTTCGTGTCTTTTAATTTATATTTTTAATTGCAAGCAAAAGTGTTCTTATATTTTATGAATAAATTAAGAGAGAGCCATTGATAAAAACTTACAGATTTGATCAGCGACTCATAGTTAAATTTCTCGAAAATAGAAAACAGTTTTAATTACACTTGAAAACATAAATAACAGATAGCCACATAACGAGAGAAAAAAATCAAAAAAATTCTTGGGGAAACCGCCCAGCGGCTTTATTTATGTGGTTAGCAAACAATTTTTTCTCCTTAAACCAACGCTAATATTGGATCTACTTAACAATTGCCCTCCCTTTGGTACCTACTTAAGAATTGCCACCCCTATTAATAAAAGCAGTAAATTAACGCTAGAGCTTTGTATTGAGACTTCCAATTTTGCTGCAATCTGATTAGTCGAAAATGCGTTATATTAATCTACCTAACAATAGCCCCCCTTTCTTAAAAGGGGGGGGGGGTAATTGTTAAGTAGATCCCTAATATTTAGCCTCGCAGAAAGCAGTCATAAACCAGACGAAGACATCGGACTTAAATAAGTTAAATTGTCTACATTCCTTGTGCTCAGTTAAGGAACTTTAACATTATTTCACCGATTTGATAATTACAACTTCGCTCTGACATTTTGAAATTCAAATATAATTGGCTGTCAATATAATCGGAAGAGGATTTCAACTCTGACTTCAAAAAACAAGTCAAACTTGATGCTTAAAAGCATCGGTGACGGACAGTTAATATCATATTTGGTCAACGTGTCTGTTTGATGTTGTATCACCTTGTCTGTACATGAAACACTTCCCTTAAATGAAAACAGAGTTCGAAAGAAATGTGATGAAGTGAATTATCTGTTTTCATTAGTGTAGAATTCTGAAGGATCTTACTGCCCTTTAAGGTGTCTCAATTAGTTTTTTTTCGCAATGATAAACGATTTTCTTACATTTTCAACTGTTATTTGCAAAAAAATAAGTTTTTCATAAAAGCCTGCAAATTGAGAAGGCGACCAAAACTGGCACAATCCTTTAAAAGGTTGCGACCGATTCAAAATGATACAGTCAAAATACTAGGTTTAGAAATTGGACGATATTGTATAGCAAATCTTTTTGAGATTAAAAAAAAACATTTCATTGATCTGACCCTAAGTACACTAATATACTCCCAACTCCCATATTAAGTTAATCAGTTTATTTTTGGCCAACAAAAATTAACTGAATCAAAAAATTATTAGACTTGTTCCGATTTACACAACCTGCAAAAAAAGGTTGAAAGCTTGTGGGAAGATTAACCCACAAAATCAACTCTGTGGCCCAAATTATTTGCTTGAATCAAGAAATCCTCAGACTTGTTCTATTTGCGCAATCTGCGAAAATGAGGTTGAAAATTTGTGGTAAATGTTGTTATAAATTCTTTGGATCATTGGATCATTTCACCGTGACTATAAGTTCATATCAGCATGGTTAGTTTTCTTGTAATTTTTGTGATCTATCCTTTTTCTAATTTTCTGTGCTCGTATATCCAGCTCAACAAGCTTTTTTGTCTGTTTGTTTTTGTGTTCTTTTCCATAATAATCTGAACTAGAACTACAATCTGTCACAAGAATTTAGGATTTTTTCAACTCTTAGGGTAAGTGTATCGGTTTCTTGCGTACCTTAAAAACGTATTTTAAAAAATTGACTTTTTCATGTTCACTGCACGTTTCAAGTTCACGTTTTGAAAACTAACTTAGAGTTTTCGTAATGCAATGAATCTTTAAGAGCAAGCTTTTAAAGGTTTCAATCGTTTTGCGAATTTCTTTCAGCTCACCAAGACAATTGGTTCACTTTCTCTTGCGGTTGTGATTCTGTTCACACTGATAGAAAGGGCGGCAGCCGTTCTCGACGAGGAAGGAGCAGTCACCACTGGAACTGAAACAAGAGGGGTATCGCAATTTGCGGGAAAACGCGGATGCCCTGGTAAAAATAGCTATGCCCGGCATCCTTTTCTCTGCTCTTCTACCCTCAATTCCCTGCCTCGTCACGACTTTTCATCATCATCCCCTCATATGACGTTTTTTTTTCTTTAAATGATGATTATCAATAACTCTAAAGACGGAATGACATTTCCATCGCCGTTTTTCGTGTTTGGGGAGAAATTGCGAACAAGGGCTGTTACGGCGCACCAGATGACAATGGTGAGTGCGCTGCAGTTGTTGTTGTTCGGAAGTCGGTCTGTGAGTTCGGAGAGAAGAATTGACCCGCAAGATGGAACTGAGAAGCAAATGGTCCGTCTGGACGATTGGTACGTAAACATAGATAGTAAATACTCTATGGCGTTGTGGCGCATCAGTAGTGATGGTGCCCAGCAATCATATGATAGCGGGTTCAATTCGCACCTGCGCTGCAATTTACAAGGTGAGCTCTTGTAAGATAGCCATAGCTTAGTTAACCTTTATTTATTAACCTTCGGATTAGGCCTCTGGCTGGTTAGCTAAAAAAAAAATAGTAAAAAGACATTTATCCGATTTGTGGTTGCAGATGAAATTAACAGCACAGTTTTTAAGAGCAATGAACGTAGTGGGTACTCTTATATAGGTCTTGCTGATTTTTTTTGTCTTTTTTTCTAAGAGTAATGAACTAGTGAGTACTCTTATATAGGTCTTGCTGTTTTTTTAAGAGAAATGAACTAGTGAGTACTCTTATATAGGTCTTGCTGATTTTTTTTGTCTTTTTTTCTAAGAGTAATGAACTAGTGAGTACTCTTATATAGGTCTTGCTGTTTTTTTAAGAGAAATGAACTAGTGAGTACTCTTATATAGGTCTTGCTGATTTTTTTTGTCTTTTTTTCTAAGAGTAATGAACTAGTGAGTACTCTTATATAGGTATTGCTGTTTTTTTAAGAGAAATGAACTAGTGAGTACTCTTATATAGGTCTTGCTGATTTTTTTTGTCTTTTTTTCTAAGAGTAATGAACTAGTGAGTACTCTTATATAGGTCTTGCTGTTTTTTTAAGAGAAATGAACTAGTGAGTACTCTTATATAGGTCTTGCTGATTTTTTTTTGTCTTTTTTTCTAAGAGTAATGAACTAGTGAGTACTCTTATATAGGTATTGCTGTTTTTTTAAGAGAAATGAACTAGTGAGTACTCTTATATAGGTCTTGCTGATTTTTTTTGTCTTTTTTTCTAAGAGTAATGAACTAGTGAGTACTCTTATATAGGTCTTGCTGTTTTTTTAAGAGAAATGAACTAGTGAGTACTCTTATATAGGTCTTGCTGATTTTTTTTGTCTTTTTTTCTAAGAGTAATGAACTAGTGAGTACTCTTATATAGGTCTTGCTGTTTTTTTAAGAGAAATGAAATAGTGAGTACTCTTATATAGGTCTTGCTGATTTTTTTTTGTCTTTTTTTCTAAGAGTAATGAACTAGTGAGTACTCTTATATAGGTCTTGCTGTTTTTTTAAGAGAAATGAACCAGTGAGTACTCTTATATAGGTCTTGCTGATTTTTTTTGTCTTTTTTTTCTAAGAGTAATGAACTAGTGAGTACTCTTATATAGTTCTTGCTGTTTTTTTAAGAGAAATGAACTAGTGAGTACTCTTATATAGGTCTTGCTGATTTTTTTTTGTCTTTTTTTCTAAGAGTAATGAACTAGTGAGTACTCTTATATAGGTCTTGCTGTTTTTTAAGAGAAATGAACTAGTGAGTACTCTTATATAGGTCTTGCTGATTTTTTTTGTCTTTTTTTCTAAGAGTAATGAACTAGTGAGTACTCTTATATAGGTCTTGCTGTTTTTTTAAGAGAAATGAAATAGTGAGTACTCTTATATAGGTCTTGCTGATTTTTTTTGTCTTTTTTTCTAAGAGTAATGAACTAGTGAGTACTCTTATATAGGTCTTGCTGTTTTTTTAAGAGAAATGAACTAGTGAGTACTCTTATATAGGTCTTGCTGATTTTTTTTGTCTTTTTTTCTAAGAGTAATGAACTAGTGAGTACTCTTATATAGGTATTGCTGTTTTTTTAAGAGAAATGAACTAGTGAGTACTCTTATATAGGTCTTGCTGATTTTTTTTGTCTTTTTTTCTAAGAGTAATGAACTAGTGAGTACTCTTATATAGGTCTTGCTGTTTTTTTAAGAGAAATGAACTAGTGAGTACTCTTATATAGGTCTTGCTGATTTTTTTTGTCTTTTTTTCTAAGAGTAATGAACTAGTGAGTACTCTTATATAGGTCTTGCTGTTTTTTTAAGAGAAATGAACTAGTGAGTACTCTTATATAGGTCTTGCTGATTTTTTTTGTCTTTTTTTCTAAGAGTAATGAACTAGTGAGTACTCTTATATAGGTCTTGCTGTTTTTTTAAGAGAAATGAAATAGTGAGTACTCTTATATAGGTCTTGCTGATTTTTTTTGTCTTTTTTTCTAAGAGTAATGAACTAGTGAGTACTCTTATATAGGTCTTGCTGTTTTTTAAGAGAAATGAACTAGTGAGTACTCTTATATAGGTCTTGCTGATTTTTTTTGTCTTTTTTTCTAAGAGTAATGAACTAGTGAGTACTCTAATATAGGTCTTGCTGTTTTTTTAAGAGAAATGAACTAGTGAGTACTCTTATATAGGTCTTGCTGATTTTTTAAGAGAAATGAAATAGTGAGTACTCTTATATAGGTCTTGCTGATTTTTTTTGTCTTTTTTTCTAAGAGTAATGAACTAGTGAGTACTCTTATATAGGTCTTGCTGTTTTTTAAGAGAAATGAACTAGTGAGTACTCTTATATAGATCTTGCTGATTTTTTTTTGTCTTTTTTTCTAAGAGTAATGAACTAGTGAGTACTCTTATATAGGTATTGCTGTTTTTTTAAGAGAAATGAACTAGTGAGTACTCTTATATAGGTCTTGCTGATTTTTTTTGTCTTTTTTTCTAAGAGTAATGAACTAGTGAGTACTCTTATATAGGTCTTGCTGTTTTTTTAAGAGAAATGAACTAGTGAGTACTCTTATATAGGTCTTGCTGATTTTTTTTGTCTTTTTTTCTAAGAGTAATGAACTAGTGAGTACTCTTATATAGGTCTTGCTGTTTTTTTAAGAGAAATGAAATAGTGAGTACTCTTATATAGGTCTTGCTGATTTTTTTTGTCTTTTTTTCTAAGAGTAATGAACTAGTGAGTACTCTTATATAGGTCTTGCTGTTTTTTTAAGAGAAATGAACCAGTGAGTACTCTTATATAGGTCTTGCTGATTTTTTTTGTCTTTTTTTTCTAAGAGTAATGAACTAGTGAGTACTCTTATATAGTTCTTGCTGTTTTTTTAAGAGAAATGAACTAGTGAGTACTCTTATATAGGTCTTGCTGGTTTTTTTGCTTTTTTGTCAAGAAAAAGTCTTAAAATTTGTTCACGCTCAGTTTTGTTTTTTCGCCGCTTACTGACTTGTGATTTCTTTTTAAATTCAGTGCATTTAAATTCAGTGTAAAGGTCACGAAAAATGTGATCGGCTTCTGATTTCAAAAATGGAAATTAATTATCAGATTTCCCAGCGAAATAAAAGTTTTGCCGATTGATCCAGTTTTCTCAAATTGAGCTATTTTTATCATAAAACCGTCCACCATAAATTGTTTTACAATTTCAAAGAGCTTTAAGGTCATCTATTTTTTTTTCGAAAGTTGAAGATTTTTGAAAACACTAGTCGTTTTTTTTCAGTTTCTTTGCGTTCATTACTGTTTTCCAAGTGCCAGTTGGCTATGTTTGTTGTTTGATCCGAAATAAATGGTCTCCTAACTGTACTCGTGAAGCGAAGGTTATGTTAAGATGTACAATTGAGGTTCTTTAATGAAGGTCAGTTGAGACAAAAATTGAGTATCACACAAAGAAGTTGTGAACTATCTGCTATTTTCAACTTCTAAATAATCCTGGTTACGTTTTGGAATGATTGGGTGCGAGCGTCTTCTTGAAAACCTGTGATATAGGCTTCATCTTTTTAAGGATCAATCTGGATCTGGACCACAAAAGCGCAGCCTCAGTAGTCGCCCTTCGCCCGATCATTGAAGACTTCATCATGCGATTCACAAGCGAACCCGAGAGAGCACTGCAGATGGCAGACAGTGATGTCACTCTGAAACACGTGATCAGAAGTCTGTCTACGGCAGATAGTGTGTTGCTGGAAAGGGGAGGGGCGAGTGGGGGTGGTGCAATTAAAAGGCCGATGATGCAGTCGCCATTGGGGGGAGGATATGGACAGTAAGTAGAATTTGTAATCAGTAAGTAGAATTTAGGCTTTCGAAACAGATAATCAAACGCTGCAATCCTTGTAACCATGGATTGTATAAGAAGTTTGTTTTTACGTGGGTGTTTTTTTTTAAATTGTTTCAACCTTTATTCTTGAGGCCAGCTGTTTCTAAACTTTCGAGCTCTACGAATGACCCTAGAATGGCTTTACTTCGTAACTGTACCAGACGCAATCTCGAATAAAAATTGTCTCTCAATTTTTATCCGAGATTGTTTCTTTGAGATCTGAGGATTTTCCTCACATTTTGGCTGAAAAAACATCGGGCATTTTAAGATTTAATGTGACTTATTTTTTTTCTCGGTTTACACTTCGTCAGCTAAGTGTATTATTACGAACCTTCTTTTTTTTCTAACCTAACTCGAAAATAAAACTGCAGCATTGGAAATTGGATAGCATCTGTTCTCTGGTTTATTTGTGGCTAGTGTTTGGTACCTTGGCTCTTTCACATTTTCCACTCCCCCCTCGTAAAATAGCAAAATAAAGCTTCTCAGATATTGCAAACACGGCATTTTGCATGCTATAAATGTTGTGAAAATTTGTTCACCTGTTCACGCTGACGCCTTTCGATGCATTTTCTAACATAAAAAGTAATTTTAAATAGACTTTCCTTTAACTCCTAACCAGCTAGTAACTTTAACTAGGGTCAGCCAAAGGCAAATACCGTAATGACATTGACCCATATGTCTAATTACTTGAAGGAGCACTGTTAAAAAAAGATCAAGCCAATTGATTCAAAGCCAATTGATTTTTTAAAAAAAGTCATTTTAAAAGTTAAATATTCCACTCATTATTTTGAAAAGAAACTTTGATCTGCTAACCAATATGATTTGCATTGCTTTTAGGTACGGGCCTTCGCCTCCCAAGGCTACTATGATGGAAAGCAGTTACAACAGTGGCGGTGCAAATCAAAGTTATGGCGGCTACGGAGAGCCCAGTAGAGGTCAGCATTTATGTAGTACTGGCGTGTAACGCACCTCCGATACTTCAATTTTTGACAACTCTTATAAAACCGCATATATTGGCAATAAGATTTGCATCCTTTGAGTGTACTCTGGTATCACCCAATTACAGGTTTGGTAATTCAAATTCAGTAAAGTTTTTATTCAATTTTTTAAATTCAAGTTTGTGACGTTTCTTATATCCAACTTCATTGGAAAAGTTTAGAATGACATAAAAAACGTCACATCTCGGAAACTAAAAGCAATTGAGCAGTCGAATTTGGAGGCAAGAGTTGCAACCCCTGAGAGTACTCTACAGTACCCAACCACAGCGTTGGGAATTTCATATTTTGAGAAAGTTCAAATTTAAATTTTTAAAAATACAAAGATTTGAGCAGTCATATTTGGAGGCAAGATTCGTAACCCCTGAGAATACTGTGCCAGCCCTCAAATACAGGGTTAGGAATTTCAAATTTATGAAAGAACTAAATTTCAAGTTTTCTTCCACGAAAATTTTAAGTTTCAGTTTTTTGATACAAGAGAAAATCACGAAAAGCGTCATATCTCGAACACTAAAAGGATTTGAGCAGTCATGATAATAGTTGCAACTGCTGGGAACACCCTGACAGAGCCTCACTCTAGAGATGAGAATTCAAATTTGTGAAAATTTTTATAAGTTCTTTGAATAATTTAAAAAAAAAACACAAAAAAAGGTCACATCTCGTAAAACTAAGAAAATTTGAGCAGTTGCATTTGGAAGCAAGATTTGCAACTTCAAAATTCTGAAAGTACCTTCACAGTACTTAACGACAGGGTTGGGAATTTCAAACTTTCTGAATGTTTTAAATTCAACTTTTCTGAAAATTAAAAAACAAAATCATAAAAACGTCATATATCGAAAAGTAATGACTTGAGCAGTCATCCTTGGTTGGAGGTAATATTTGCAGCCTCTACGTGTATGTTGCTAGCGCCTAACTGCAGGGCTAGGAATTTCGAGTTATTCTTTCCAAACTTCTTTCAAATCTAAATCTTCTGAGATTTAAGAAAAACAATCATAAAAACGTCATATCTCGAAAACTACGAGGATTGGATCAGTCATAATTGGAGGCCCATTTTGCAACCTCTACGAAAACCCTCCCACAGCATAACACCATAAGGTTTCTACTTTTAAACTTTTGAATCGAACACTGAGTTCAAACTGGAAACTCGAGTAAAATTTTCAACCCTTGCAATATACGATATAACTTAATCGTGAAAAAATTCTTTCGTTAAACGTGCAAAAATAATACGTTGAAAAACTTAAGCATTGCGAGATAGTGAAGCCTGCATTTAATTAGATAAGAAATGTGCACAAACTAATCCTGATGCATGGGTTCGAATCCTGTAAATGAAATTAACAGCACAGTTTTTAAGAGCAATGAACGTAGTGGGTACTCTTATATAGGTCTTGCTGATTTTTTTTGTTTTTTTTAGAGTAATGAACTAGTGAGTACTCTTATATAGGTCTTGCTGGTTTTTAAGAGAAATGAACTAGTGAGTACTCTTATATAGGTCTTGCTGGTTTTTTTGCTTTTTTGTCAAGAAAAAGTCTTAAAATTTGTTCACGCTCAGTTTTGTTTTTTCGCCGCTTACTGACTTGTGATTTCTTTTTAAATTCAGTGCATTTAAATTCAGTGTAAAGGTCACGAAAAATGTGATCGGCTTCTGATTTCAAAAATGGAAATTAATTATTAGATTTCCCAGCGAAATAAAAGTTTTGCCTATTGATCCAGTTTTCTCAAATTGAGCTATTTTTAACATAAAACCGTCCACCATAAATTGTTTTACAATTTCAAAGAGCTTTAAGGTCATCTATTTTTTTTTCGAAAGTTGAAGATTTTTGAAAACACTAGTCGTTTTTTTTCAGTTTCTTTGCGTTCATTACTGTTTTCCAAGTGCCAGTTGGCTATGTTTGTTGTTTGATCCGAAATAAATGGTCTCCTAACTGTACTCGTGAAGCGAAGGTTATGTTAAGATGCACAATTGAGGTTCTTTAATGAAGGTCAGTTGAGACAAAAATTGAGTATCACACAAAGAAGTTGTGAACTATCTGCTATTTTCAACTTCTAAATAATCCTGGTTACGTTTTGGAATGATTGGGTGCGAGCGTCTTCTTGAAAACCTGTGATATAGGCTTCATCTTTTTAAGGATCAATCTGGATCTGGACCACAAAAGCGCAGCCTCAGTAGTCGCCCTTCGCCCGATCATTGAAGACTTCATCATGCGATTCACAAGCGAACCCGAGAGAGCACTGCAGATGGCAGACAGTGATGTCACTCTGAAACACGTGATCAGAAGTCTGTCTACGGCAGATAGTGTGTTGCTGGAAAGGGGAGGGGCGAGTGGGGGTGGTGCAATTAAAAGGCCGATGATGCAGTCGCCATTGGGGGGAGGATATGGACAGTAAGTAGAATTTGTAATCAGTAAGTAGAATTTAGGCTTTCGAAACAGATAATCAAACGCTGCAATCCTTGTAACCATGGATTGTATAAGAAGTTTGTTTTTACGTGGGTGTTTTTTTTTAAATTGTTTCAACCTTTATTCTTGAGGCCAGCTGTTTCTAAACTTTCGAGCTCTACGAATGACCCTAGAATGGCTTTACTTCGTAACTGTACCAGACGCAATCTCGAATAAAAATTGTCTCTCAATTTTTATCCGAGATTGTTTCTTTGAGATCTGAGGATTTTCCTCACATTTTGGCTGAAAAAACATCGGGCATTTTAAGATTTAATGTGACTTATTTTTTTTCTCGGTTTACACTTCGTCAGCTAAGTGTATTATTACGAACCTTCTTTTTTTTCTAACCTAACTCGAAAATAAAACTGCAGCATTGGAAATTGGATAGCATCTGTTCTCTGGTTTATTTGTGGCTAGTGTTTGGTACCTTGGCTCTTTCACATTTTCCACTCCCCCCTCGTAAAATAGCAAAATAAAGCTTCTCAGATATTGCAAACACGGCATTTTGCATGCTATAAATGTTGTGAAAATTTGTTCACCTGTTCACGCTGACGCCTTTCGATGCATTTTCTAACATAAAAAGTAATTTTAAATAGACTTTCCTTTAACTCCTAACCAGCTAGTAACTTTAACTAGGGTCAGCCAAAGGCAAATACCGTAATGACATTGACCCATATGTCTAATTACTTGAAGGAGCACTGTTAAAAAAAGATCAAGCCAATTGATTCAAAGCCAATTGATTTTTTAAAAAAAGTCATTTTAAAAGTTAAATATTCCACTCATTATTTTGAAAAGAAACTTTGATCTGCTAACCAATATGATTTGCATTGCTTTTAGGTACGGGCCTTCGCCTCCCAAGGCTACTATGATGGAAAGCAGTTACAACAGTGGCGGTGCAAATCAAAGTTATGGCGGCTACGGAGAGCCCAGTAGAGGTCAGCATTTATGTAGTACTGGCGTGTAACGCACCTCCGATACTTCAATTTTTGACAACTCTTATAAAACCGCATATATTGGCAATAAGATTTGCATCCTTTGAGTGTACTCTGGTATCACCCAATTACAGGTTTGGTAATTCAAATTCAGTAAAGTTTTTATTCAATTTTTTAAATTCAAGTTTGTGACGTTTCTTATATCCAACTTCATTGGAAAAGTTTAGAATGACATAAAAAACGTCACATCTCGGAAACTAAAAGCAATTGAGCAGTCGAATTTGGAGGCAAGAGTTGCAACCCCTGAGAGTACTCTACAGTACCCAACCACAGCGTTGGGAATTTCATATTTTGAGAAAGTTCAAATTTAAATTTTTAAAACTACAAAGATTTGAGCAGTCATATTTGGAGGCAAGATTCGTAACCCCTGAGAATACTGTGCCAGCCCTCAAATACAGGGTTAGGAATTTCAAATTTATGAAAGAACTAAATTTCAAGTTTTCTTCCACGAAAATTTTAAGTTTCAGTTTTTTGATACAAGAGAAAATCACGAAAAGCGTCATATCTCGAACACTAAAAGGATTTGAGCAGTCATGATAATAGTTGCAACTGCTGGGAACACCCTGACAGAGCCTCACTCTAGAGATGAGAATTCAAATTTGTGAAAATTTTTATAAGTTCTTTGAATAATTTAAAAAAAAAACACAAAAAAAGGTCACATCTCGTAAAACTAAGAAAATTTGAGCAGTTGCATTTGGAAGCAAGATTTGCAACTTCAAAATTCTGAAAGTACCTTCACAGTACTTAACGACAGGGTTGGGAATTTCAAACTTTCTGAATGTTTTAAATTCAACTTTTCTGAAAATTAAAAAACAAAATCATAAAAACGTCATATATCGAAAAGTAATGACTTGAGCAGTCATCCTTGGTTGGAGGTAATATTTGCAGCCTCTACGTGTATGTTGCTAGCGCCTAACTGCAGGGCTAGGAATTTCGAGTTATTCTTTCCAAACTTCTTTCAAATCTAAATCTTCTGAGATTTAAGAAAAACAATCATAAAAACGTCATATCTCGAAAACTACGAGGATTGGATCAGTCATAATTGGAGGCCCATTTTGCAACCTCTACGAAAACCCTCCCACAGCATAACACCATAAGGTTTCTACTTTTAAACTTTTGAATCGAACACTGAGTTCAAACTGGAAACTCGAGTAAAATTTTCAACCCTTGCAATATACGATATAACTTAATCGTGAAAAAATTCTTTCGTTAAACGTGCAAAAATAATACGTTGAAAAACTTAAGCATTGCGAGATAGTGAAGCCTGCATTTAATTAGATAAGAAATGTGCACAAACTAATCCTGATGCATGGGTTCGAATCCTGTAAATGAAATTAACAGCACAGTTTTTAAGAGCAATGAACGTAGTGGGTACTCTTATATAGGTCTTGCTGATTTTTTTTGTTTTTTTTAGAGTAATGAACTAGTGAGTACTCTTATATAGGTCTTGCTGGTTTTTAAGAGAAATGAACTAGTGAGTACTCTTATATAGGTCTTGCTGGTTTTTTTGCTTTTTTGTCAAGAAAAAGTCTTAAAATTTGTTCACGCTCAGTTTTGTTTTTTCGCCGCTTACTGACTTGTGATTTCTTTTTAAATTCAGTGCATTTAAATTCAGTGTAAAGGTCACGAAAAATGTGATCGGCTTCTGATTTCAAAAATGGAAATTAATTATTAGATTTCCCAGCGAAATAAAAGTTTTGCCTATTGATCCAGTTTTCTCAAATTGAGCTATTTTTAACATAAAACCGTCCACCATAAATTGTTTTACAATTTCAAAGAGCTTTAAGGTCATCTATTTTTTTTTCGAAAGTTGAAGATTTTTGAAAACACTAGTCGTTTTTTTTCAGTTTCTTTGCGTTCATTACTGTTTTCCAAGTGCCAGTTGGCTATGTTTGTTGTTTGATCCGAAATAAATGGTCTCCTAACTGTACTCGTGAAGCGAAGGTTATGTTAAGATGTACAATTGAGGTTCTTTAATGAAGGTCAGTTGAGACAAAAATTGAGTATCACACAAAGAAGTTGTGAACTATCTGCTATTTTCAACTTCTAAATAATCCTGGTTACGTTTTGGAATGATTGGGTGCGAGCGTCTTCTTGAAAACCTGTGATATAGGCTTCATCTTTTTAAGGATCAATCTGGATCTGGACCACAAAAGCGCAGCCTCAGTAGTCGCCCTTCGCCCGATCATTGAAGACTTCATCATGCGATTCACAAGCGAACCCGAGAGAGCACTGCAGATGGCAGACAGTGATGTCACTCTGAAACACGTGATCAGAAGTCTGTCTACGGCAGATAGTGTGTTGCTGGAAAGGGGAGGGGCGAGTGGGGGTGGTGCAATTAAAAGGCCGATGATGCAGTCGCCATTGGGGGGAGGATATGGACAGTAAGTAGAATTTGTAATCAGTAAGTAGAATTTAGGCTTTCGAAACAGATAATCAAACGCTGCAATCCTTGTAACCATGGATTGTATAAGAAGTTTGTTTTTACGTGGGTGTTTTTTTTTAAATTGTTTCAACCTTTATTCTTGAGGCCAGCTGTTTCTAAACTTTCGAGCTCTACGAATGACCCTAGAATGGCTTTACTTCGTAACTGTACCAGACGCAATCTCGAATAAAAATTGTCTCTCAATTTTTATCCGAGATTGTTTCTTTGAGATCTGAGGATTTTCCTCACATTTTGGCTGAAAAAACATCGGGCATTTTAAGATTTAATGTGACTTATTTTTTTTCTCGGTTTACACTTCGTCAGCTAAGTGTATTATTACGAACCTTCTTTTTTTTCTAACCTAACTCGAAAATAAAACTGCAGCATTGGAAATTGGATAGCATCTGTTCTCTGGTTTATTTGTGGCTAGTGTTTGGTACCTTGGCTCTTTCACATTTTCCACTCCCCCCTCGTAAAATAGCAAAATAAAGCTTCTCAGATATTGCAAACACGGCATTTTGCATGCTATAAATGTTGTGAAAATTTGTTCACCTGTTCACGCTGACGCCTTTCGATGCATTTTCTAACATAAAAAGTAATTTTAAATAGACTTTCCTTTAACTCCTAACCAGCTAGTAACTTTAACTAGGGTCAGCCAAAGGCAAATACCGTAATGACATTGACCCATATGTCTAATTACTTGAAGGAGCACTGTTAAAAAAAGATCAAGCCAATTGATTCAAAGCCAATTGATTTTTTAAAAAAAGTCATTTTAAAAGTTAAATATTCCACTCATTATTTTGAAAAGAAACTTTGATCTGCTAACCAATATGATTTGCATTGCTTTTAGGTACGGGCCTTCGCCTCCCAAGGCTACTATGATGGAAAGCAGTTACAACAGTGGCGGTGCAAATCAAAGTTATGGCGGCTACGGAGAGCCCAGTAGAGGTCAGCATTTATGTAGTACTGGCGTGTAACGCACCTCCGATACTTCAATTTTTGACAACTCTTATAAAACCGCATATATTGGCAATAAGATTTGCATCCTTTGAGTGTACTCTGGTATCACCCAATTACAGGTTTGGTAATTCAAATTCAGTAAAGTTTTTATTCAATTTTTTAAATTCAAGTTTGTGACGTTTCTTATATCCAACTTCATTGGAAAAGTTTAGAATGACATAAAAAACGTCACATCTCGGAAACTAAAAGCAATTGAGCAGTCGAATTTGGAGGCAAGAGTTGCAACCCCTGAGAGTACTCTACAGTACCCAACCACAGCGTTGGGAATTTCATATTTTGAGAAAGTTCAAATTTAAATTTTTAAAACTACAAAGATTTGAGCAGTCATATTTGGAGGCAAGATTCGTAACCCCTGAGAATACTGTGCCAGCCCTCAAATACAGGGTTAGGAATTTCAAATTTATGAAAGAACTAAATTTCAAGTTTTCTTCCACGAAAATTTTAAGTTTCAGTTTTTTGATACAAGAGAAAATCACGAAAAGCGTCATATCTCGAACACTAAAAGGATTTGAGCAGTCATGATAATAGTTGCAACTGCTGGGAACACCCTGACAGAGCCTCACTCTAGAGATGAGAATTCAAATTTGTGAAAATTTTTATAAGTTCTTTGAATAATTTGAAAAAAAAAACACAAAAAAAGGTCACATCTCGTAAAACTAAGAAAATTTGAGCAGTTGCATTTGGAAGCAAGATTTGCAACTTCAAAATTCTGAAAGTACCTTCACAGTACTTAACGACAGGGTTGGGAATTTCAAACTTTCTGAATGTTTTAAATTCAACTTTTCTGAAAATTAAAAAACAAAATCATAAAAACGTCATATATCGAAAAGTAATGACTTGAGCAGTCATCCTTGGTTGGAGGTAATATTTGCAGCCTCTACGTGTATGTTGCTAGCGCCTAACTGCAGGGCTAGGAATTTCGAGTTATTCTTTCCAAACTTCTTTCAAATCTAAATCTTCTGAGATTTAAGAAAAACAATCATAAAAACGTCATATCTCGAAAACTACGAGGATTGGATCAGTCATAATTGGAGGCCCATTTTGCAACCTCTACGAAAACCCTCCCACAGCATAACACCATAAGGTTTCTACTTTTAAACTTTTGAATCGAACACTGAGTTCAAACTGGAAACTCGAGTAAAATTTTCAACCCTTGCAATATACGATATAGCTTAATCGTGAAAAAATTCTTTCGTTAAACGTGCAAAAATAATACGTTGAAAAACTTAAGCATTGCGAGATAGTGAAGCCTGCATTTAATTAGATAAGAAATGTGCACAAACTAATCCTGATGCATGGGTTCGAATCCTGAATTCTTTAACGTTCTTCAAGGCTTTTTCTACCTCTTTTCGTGCAGATTGCAAAGTTGGAAGGACTTTTGTGGTTTTCTTTAACTTTTTGCACGCAAATCAGATACCACACAAAATATCAGACTGGGTTAACTAAATTTTATTTCAGAAGAAGAAGAATTAATTTCTCGCTACGAAAAGTCATTTTAGTCAAAGTAGTTTCACAAAATTTTAAGCA